GTTTTGGATAACATGAAATCCACCGATACTATCTTTTGGGTAGGCGTTGTAAGGGTGTTATAACATTTCCTACATGTAATCGACTCCTAGACCTAGTTTTGATTTTGTAAGACCTAAATCTACATTTTAAAGATACCTGAGTCAAGTTTGGGACTTCTTTTTAAAATGAAACAGGTTTAATTAGGTAGCTAATCGCACATTAACAAAAAAGATTAATGGTGACTCCTAAAGTTGTTTCTAATGATAGGTTCACAGATCTATATGTTATGACATTTATAATTTTGCAAAATTTGAAATGGAAAAGATACAAAGAAGAGAAAGTGAAAGATTGGAGAGTCTGGATAGAAAGAGCTTTAAGAGAAACTTGTGAATATGTTGCATATATAAGTAGAATCAAAGAAAAAGAAAGAGAGCTGGATAGATGCTATAGAAAAATAGTTAGGCCATTTGAAAAGGAATTAGGTTTGAGCCATAATTCTTAGGCCAACCAACTAATCAATAATAGGAAGCAAAATTGTTTTTAGAAACAAAATGGATAAGTTGGGAAATGTGGTAAGTACAAAACTAGATTAGTTGTGAAATGTTATAATAAAGAGAAGATATTAATTTTGATGAAATATTTAGTCTAATAGCTTCAATAAAAACAATTAGATTATTGTTTGCTCTTACTTGTTACATGGATTTGAAAGCTTTTCAAATGAGTGTTAAAAATGCATTTTTAAATGATTTTAGTCATGAAAAAGTTTTTTTGAAACAATCTCATTTTTTCTTAAAGATTTTGGAAAGCCTATGATCATTTATAATTTTGAAAAATCTTTATATGTTTGTAAACAAGCTTTAAAAGCTTTATATGAATGGCTTTCAAAGTTTTTAATAGAAAAATATTTTCAATGGTAGTGGAGGCACTATTTTGTTTATAAAGATAAACAAAAATGATTTGCTCCTTGAACAAATATTTGTTAATATTGTATTTGGAGCTATTAATAAAAGTTTATGTGAGTATTTTGCTAAGAAAATGCAGAGTATTGAAATAAGCATTATAGAAGAACTGACATTCTTCCTTAGTTTACAAATCAAGCAATGTAAGGATGAGAGATTCATCAACCAAATCAAATACATCAAGGAGATGTTTAAGAAGTTTGGCATGCATGAAGTTAGGTTGGAAATCAAATGAATCCTCTAACAAAACTTGACAAGGTTAAAAAAAAAAAGAAAAGGTGTGATTCAAAAAATTTTATAAAGGTATGTTTGATTCACTTATTTATTCAGGAACAAGTAGACTTAAATATTCATGCCATTCATGTTCACATACTTAAATGTGATATATCTATTGACTATGTTGATACTTTGCATCAATTAGCTTATATTGCCACTAAGCCTTGATAAAATATCATTTTTATAAGAAACTTTGGCATGATTGCATGATTAAGATTTGAATGATTTGATGTGTGCATGGGAAATGTTATTATTTAACAATAGTTGTAATGATAAACATGCTTAAGTTTCAAATGTTTGAAATTGCATAATATCATGCATTAATTGCCTATCTTTTAGATGTTATGCATGTGTTTAGGATGTTTAACCTATTAAGAGAGCATAAATGAATAATTAATAGACAATGAAAAAATATTCCACGACTTGTTAATTGATTAATCAAGGTGAATAATAGTTTTTAACTTGTTGAATTAATTGATTATAGTACATCTCGGTGTATGCTTTAATTGGTTAATTAACAATGTTATTAATTATTTGTTCATTAGTCTGAAAGATCAAGACAATCCCTTTTAAGTTTAATTCCCCATATTGTGCTTAAATGTTTTATTTTTTTTATAGAATTATAAACATGGTTGATGGGAATGATTTCTGTGCTTAATTGATTATATTCTATTTATGCATTAATTTAAAAGGAGATTTGCATCTATCTAAGGGGAGCAATAAAATTTGTGTTTTATAAATGATATCTATTCATTTGAATGCTTGTATGTTTTAAAAGGTTGTTTTTTATAATGTCTTGAAAATGCACTTTTAATGATATTGTTTTCGCTAATAACAAAAAAGGAATAATATGAGTGTTTGTATTTTAATGGCATATAGAGTTACACATATTGTTTTTTAATACTCCTTATTTGGCTACATAAAAAAAAGGGAGAAAATTTGAGAATCCTTTTTATTATAGTATATGTTTTGACAATGCCATATTTGGATAAAAAAAAAAGAATTTGTGGTTTACTTTTTTTTATCTTGCATATATTTTTTACCCCTATTTTTTTAACTTATTACCATTTTTTATTATAACAAAAGAGGAAGAAAAATATGCGATTGAGTTGATATGCATGTTCTTTTGCAAAAATGCATATTTAAATGCATATGCTTTGAAAGAAATTGTTTTTGAATGTACATTTTCTATATCATATATGTTTACGGCGAGTATTGTTTATTTTATCCAAAAATATATTCTTTTTACTTGTCAGACCTTTTGCTATTAAAAATGTTTTGTCATCATAAAAAAGGGAGAGATTGTTGAGTCTATTGAACCCATATTATTTTCTATGATACCAAAACCCTCTTGTTATTGGTTGTCTAATGAGTTTGCTTAAGTGTTTCAAGCTTAACCATTTGTTATTAAGTGATTAACTCAAATACATGAAGCTTTAAGTTTGAACAAGTATTAAGGAAAGGCTAATCTAAAAGATGAAGAGAGTTTTGGAGTGAATGTCATAAGATGTTGTTCAAGGAATTTATTTTAAGGATGCAAATCAATCCTGAAGTGAAGCAAAAAATCAACTGTGAGATTAATAACTTTTGGAAATTACTAAAATCAAGATAAATTGATTTATTAGCTATCTTGGAACCGTTTAAGGGTAATTTCTAAACAAAAGCAAAAAGCGTTAAGGCATTCGACTGCCCGCATATAGCATATGATTGCCCAAGAACACTTTCTGAAACAGAAGCTCATCAAAGGATAGAGCATTCGACTGTCCACCCAGCATTCGACTAAGAGATTTTTTGTTCCAAAAAGCTTATCAAGATCATTGCAGCCAACTGCTTAAGAAAGGCAGCCGACTGCTCGATGCCCAAATTGGAGGAAATCATGCTTTAATAGCTCTATTTTCACTTTTAGCAAAAGATCTTCCAATTTCATTATTCAAATCAATTCTCCAATGGATAGAATATGTCCCTCTCTTATAAATCCATCCAAAAAGGTCGAAAAACAATAAGAAGTTGAGTTATAAAAAAGATTGAAAGCATTGAAAATCAAAAGATCAAAGTTATCTCTCTTTAACGAGTCTTGTGTTGTAATTTTTTATCTTTGAGAGACAAGTTTGTAGTGAGCTGATTTTTGTGTAATATGATTATTGAGTGATCTTAAACACATTTGTTGTTTGTTACAAAGTACGAGGAAAACACAAGGCTTTCTTGAGCTTGGGTTGTTCAAGTGTTTTTAAGTGTAAAGATAGCAGTCGGGTTGGTATTTGTACATCTTGTTTTTGAACTTAGGTAGCTTGACTTTGTAGCAGCTTGGTGGAAGCTGCAATTCCTTCGAATAATGAATTCAAAATTCTTTGGATGAGTTTGTCAAGGTAGTGGACATAGTTCAAGGAACATTGAACCACTCTAAATTATGGTGTATCAATCTTTTCATCATTCAAGCACACTTGGTGATTTTTATTGTTTGGTTTAATTTGGTTTTTGTACTTAAGTTTATTTATTTATCATTTCCTTTTTAAAAATGTTAATCACTTCTTTCTAGCACGTCTTACTTGGGACCAACACATGAATGAATTTTTTTTTCTTAAATCAATAATAAAATTATATTTAAGTTCAAAAGAAAAAAATTTCTTTAAATATCAATTGAATTTGTATTTTCAAGTAAAGTATGTAAAAAGTTTTCTTCTCTCAAAATCAATCATGCCAAAATTATATTGAGTATTGGGAAAGTAATTTTTTAATCTCAATTGAACTTGTTTTTAGGGTCCAAAAATAATCTTGAAAGAAAACTTTGATTTAAGAAAATTTAATTTGAAAAATACATCTAATTTTTTTTTTTCAAATAATAATCAATTTAAAGCTAATATCTTGTTTTGGTAATATTTGTTAGCTCCATAAGCACCCTATTCCATTAATGCAACCAATCTAAGCATATTATCATTCAAGTTTGTGCCTCCAAGTCTTATTCACTTTAATGTTCAATCAGGATTACATTTATACCTAAGAGATTTGCCAAAATTTTTATTCATTATTGTGATATTTTGAACATTCACTTTGATGTGTTAAGCTTTATTTAGATTTTATTTAGATTGATTATTCTTGTAGTTGTATTAGTTTATTTTGTATTTAACATAAAGATTTTAATGTTATAATTCATATGTCAAACATGATTTTTTTTAATTTTTATCAAATTTATATGTAATTTTTATTAAAATTTTTTATATCATTTTTATATTATATCATCATATCATATTTAAAATTTAAACATCTAATTTTATTATAATTCAAAAAAATTTAATTAAAATGTATTCTTAAAATCCAATCCACTCTATTTAAAAATGTATCTAATCAATGTCACTTATGTGGCCTTTATGCATATATATATATATATTTATATATATACATATATCAAGTCGCTTCTATCATCGAAGGGTGGAAGTCAAAAATAAAAACTTCGTTACACTTTTTTGTCTATAAATAGCTTGCATGTCTGATAAAATTCAGTGTGACAGAAGAGAATCTACAATTTGATTTGGTGTAAAAAATTTAGACAAAAAATTTGGGCTTGGTGTGAGTTTTCTGTTAATAACGGAATCAAAATGCACCATTCTAAGCTCTATGACACGGCACGAGAGAAGGGGTGCGGGCCGAAGTAGGCCTTACCTTGAGGTCCTTGACCTTGCGGGCTGTGCATAGCGTGTTGGATTCACTTGGGCTCTTCTAGGACAACGTTCAACAGTACAAGTTGATGTTGTAGATTCAACGCTTAGTCTTTATCGAGTAAAAAATATAGTAATTAAAAAGAAAAAAAAAAAAAAACGAAAGAGGAAAAGGAGAAAAAGAGATTGACATGGTTGGAAATTTCTGCTTATAGTAATGAATTAAACTAGTATAAAAAAGGGAAAAGCAACAGATTTGATTTTCGAGTTTCCAAAGAACAATCTAGAATCAGTGTCTTAAGTGATTCTATGTCGAGCGAGAGAGTCCCCGTTGAGTTGTCCAAGGGCGTTAACAGCTTCGAAAAAATCATCCTCCGTGAGATTCGTGGCAGCTCCGCCGAGGTAATTTTATAAGGCTTTCTTTTCTTTTTTTTTTTAATTTATGTGTCTGGATCTGTTCATAAATTGCTCTGCGCTAGTCTTCTTTTGTTTCTTTCAATTTAATTTGTATTCTTTTTTCTTTTGTTTTTATTTTCGAGATTTTTTTTTCTTGCGGGATATTTGATTCTAGGTGGTTTTTCAGGTGTATTTGCATGGAGGCCATGTGACATCTTGGAAGAATGAGAATGGAGAGGAGCTGCTTTTTGTCAGTAGTAAGGTGCTATACAGTGACAGCAGTTCACTAATCTAATTTTATTGTTTTCTCAATTCTGTTTTTAATGTCTTATAGTTGATATTGCCAAAACAAATTTTTAGCAATGAGTTTATACTCTGTTGATTCATAGATTTCAGAATGATGGAATAGCTTGTGAATACGAGATTTGGGTGAGAATAGTTTTAAGTGGGTGAGCATAGTTTTAAGTGGCCGTGTGGGTGTCTAAGGGCTACTTAAACTATTTCATCATTTCTAATGGAAGCAGTTTTGCTTTCCATGTTTCCCTTTTCAACCTGAGATCTTTCTGTTTTGTGTGTAAGCAATTACAAAAGTTAGATGGATTATGTGTTTTAAAGGTTGTAAAGCATTCTGAACCATATTTGAAACAGGAAGAGCAGATTTGTAACTAGTTACAATAATTTGAACCCATAGATTAATTGTTGAGAAAAACAAGTTTAGAATAATGACATGTTTGAAGAAATTGAATAAACCTGTATGAATTTGTTTGAAACTCTGCACGCTGTTATGAAACAAAATACTTTAGATTTTTTTAGGAAAAATTGCTGTTCAGTAGCTTAATTTTCTTCAGCCGATGAATTCTTGCATTAAACATTGCTTGTCTGTCATTTTCATTCCATTCAGTGGTCATAGAAGGTAAGGGAGAAGAATAAATTTTTTAGTTTATGATGTATAAAATGATAAATGACTTGAATTTTAGAGGTGAATCTGCCTAAAAATGAATTCATTAATTTATGGTTACTCTCAAAAGCGAACACCTGCATATGCAAATACAAGCATTTAAGAAGACAACATTTAGAGGTTATGTTCATTTTTGTTTCTAATGTACTAGATACATATCCTTTGCAGGCATTATTCAAGCCTCAAAAAGCAATTCGTGGAGGAATTCCAATATGTTTCCCTCAAGTATGTGCAGATCTTCTTGGTCATTGCTTGTTTAGACCATGATCATCCTGGTTACAAAAACCTGCTCTGTGTTTGCAGTTTTCAAATCATGGTCCTCTTGAGCAGCATGGATTTGCTAGAAATAGGATTTGGAGCATTGACACTGACCCACCTGCTTTTCCAACAAACTCATCCAGTAAAGCTCACATTGATTTGATCCTTAGGCCTTCTGAAGAAGATATAAAGATTTGGCCTCACAGGTAATTTTTGTAATCTTTTAAAGTCAGTTCACGAAGAGAGATTCGTAGTAGAATCTTTGTGACCTTATTTTCTTGACTAATTAACTTGCCTTCATGGCTTTGTCTCCTATATCAGTTATGAGTTCCGTCTGAGGGTAGCTTTGGGACCTGGAGGAGATCTAATGTTAATATCTCGCATCAGGAATACAAATACTGATGGGAAGCCGTTTACATTCACATTTGCGTATCACACTTATTTTTCTGTTTCTGACATCAGGTAATTAAAAGGATTTGCTTTATGTTTAATCTTTTCTGTGATATGATGTTCTGTAATATTACTACTTCCAGGTTTATATTTGCATATCTTTGACTCAATTTTTTGACATGCATAGGCTGCGCTATCTTCTTCCATTGTTACATTGGTGTATCCTAGTTCATTAGCATTAAACAACTAAACTTTTATAAGTGGCTAAATAACTTTTCATGCTACTGGCTTCTAGTTGATACAAGGATCTAATATTCTAACCATAATTACAAGCTTTTTTCTCTTAGATCAATAATAGCATGGTTTGGTTTTCCTTTCATTTGCATAGCTTCTGTTATCTTCTCCCATTCTCACAGCTTATGTATTCTAGTTCATAATTATTAAGTTTATTAAGTAAACTGTCACTGGTTGTGAAATTTCTGTTCTGAGCTATTCACTTCTAGATGATGCAAGGGACTAAATTTCTCTCCATTATTGCAAGCTTGTTTTATATTTGAGCTATTGAGCATTAATAGTATGGTTTGGGTTCCATTTGAACTGTTAGTTGTTGAAGGTATGGGAGATGGTTAACTTCATTTATTGGTACCTAATTTGCCCCATCCCCCTTTGAATCATGTGTTGGATTGGATGATCCAATTGCAGTGTCCAGATTGTGAATCTATCACATGTTCTTCTGCCTGCTCATCCAAAGCCACAGTTACTTTCAATGATGAATTAGCCCCCATCTGGCTGCCGCCTGTTGTTCTCCAACCATTAAGCAGCAAGCTAATGTTTTTGTGATGGGAAAATGGACATTTCTTTTAATTTAAGGGTTTAAAAACTTAAAGCATGCGTAATTCTAAACCTTTTATTCTTATATTAACTAAAGTTACCTTATGCTACAAGTAATTATAAGAAACTAAATTTTTACTTGTTGAAACTTTTATGTTATTTTAGAATATCTTGTTGGTCATTCACAATGAATAAGATGTATAATAAGGTAAAAATAATAATTCTTAGTTTTCACAAAAAAAAAAAAAAAAGAAAATACAATTCTTAGGCTTAGATCGTGTAAACTGAAATAAAGACGAGTATTAGGTTTAGATCAGGTAAACTGAAATAAAGACAATTCTTAGGTTTAGATCATGTAAACTGAAATAAAGTGTTATTTTTGTAATTTCATTTTCTTTATTTGATGCTAGTATTATTTGCTTGTTTAGTATTCTTGAAGCTTTATGGTTAGTTACCTGAGATTGCTTTCGCACATTTTAAAGTTTTGGCACATGTCCTATTAAGCGAGGCCGTATTTAAGAACAAAATACAAAAATTGTATCTTGCTGGACTTTTCCTGGTCTTCATATTTGTGCTGTGCAAAAAATTAGTGGCTTAATTTTAAAATCTTATTTCTTTTTGTTGTTTGTTTTTCCCCTTCCATTAGAAAAGAAACTTTTAATTTATGGAGTAATGTCAAGCTGATGATAATTTATTTTTCATCATTCCATTAAAGATGTTTAACAGCTAGGAGAGTCTCCTCAAGCCGAAGTTGTAAAATCTATACCCCAAAATCATGCCTCTCAATATATGGCAGCTCTATAACTTTATCTTATTCCAAATCTGGAAGACTATTAACTTTTTTACTCCAATCTTTACCCATACGCTCCATACATATGCTCCAGTGTTGGTTATATACCTGTTCACACCTAATAAAGAAGCTTGTTACATCCTGATTGGTCCAGCACTGCATTTTGTTTTAATTTGTTGCTTCTATTTGTCAGCCCTTAAACACAAAAACCTCAGTTTAGATTTATTGGCTGACAGTCTTCCTTTTTTCATTCACTTTATACACGTAAAGAAATGGAATTTCCTTCCTTTATCTCCATATTACCTATACGCTTGGTTCCATCCTTGACAAGCATCAGAAGGCTAGCAAGTATTAATCTCTGTGTGTTTAAAGGTTTACGCTTTGTGAGACAATTTATGGTCCTAAATCTAAGGCTTCTAGGATCCATAAATTGAACAGATATGATTTAGGGCTTCTAGAGTGCTGAAAACAAGAGGCCAGATTGCAGAAAACTTGCTGACAGGTCTTGCAGCTCAGATTCAATGGAAAGATAAATAAATAAATAAATCTGAATGCACTATAAAAAGCAACAGATAGTAATATCAAAAAACAAAAAAAAGGTAATTACACTGCAAGTTTCCTAATCTATCAAATCTAGGAAGGTAAATTCAGCTTCAATAGCAAGCTATAAAAGCTCCTGAACAAAACCTTTTTCACTTTCTATTTGCTATTAAATAGGTTTCTAGACTTCTAAAATTTTAACTCTAGTAGGACTTTTAACTCCTGGTGAGAACTTGTTTCCCGTCTTGACTATTAATTTCTACTTTGGACCACATATAAGATACTATGGCTAGGAAAATAATTAAAGGACTTGCGAGACACTACTGCTATTGCCCATCATTCAGATCCTGAAATTACTGACTTACCTGATTGTTGATCAAAGGCAATTGTTAATTAAATTGAACCGGCAAAATATATTAGTATTAAATTTTTTCTTGTCCGTCTTTCACAATCTTACATCAAATTTTATTATCCCCTGTTTTCTCCAGGTTTATTACCTTGTTTCCCTCAAATTCTTTGTCGCTGCATCGTCCTTATTACTGCTTTTGTGCAACACTAACCCATCCCAAACAAACAAATTAAAAAACCATCTTATGACAAATCTTTTTTGATAAGAGTTATTCTGCTAGCAGATATTTTAGAGTTTATGATAAATTTTGGTTCTTGAATCCTGACTGAGATGAACTGTGAAGCTTTATTGTTGTTAAAATTTTGGCCTTTATTGGCAGATTCAAAATTCATCTGGCAAACTGCTAACCATCTTGAAACTCTTTTTCTTGGATAAGTAACCATCTTGAAGTTCATTAATTAATCTAAGCTAATTATTGATGTGCGCACTGATGGAATTGGTGCTTATTTCTTCTCCCTTACTATGGTGTTTATCCTCAACTGGTAAAACCGATTCATGGTAGAACATGTTAGTCGATGTTTGTGTATTGCCATGATTATACCATTACACTTGAGCAGTGGATGAGCTCATATTATCATGGTTTAAAATAACTTGGTTCCTTGTGTTCAGTGAAGTTCGTGTTGAAGGATTAGAGACACTAGATTATCTGGATAACTTACAGAACAAGGAGCGTTTTACTGAACAGGGAGATGCAATAACATTTGAAACAGAAGTGAGTTCATGATGACTTTTTTTCTCAATCTGCTAACACTTAAATTTGGTTTACTGTTTACATATTTTTATATGTGCGTAAACAGGTGGACAAGATATACCTCAGTACTCCTACTAAAATTGCAATTCTGGATCATGAAAAGAAGAGAACCTTTGTAATACGCAAAGATGGACTCCCTGATGCTGGTGAGGTTTATTTTCTCCACCCTTATTTTTATTGATATCCTTATTATAAATATGGGGCCTGATACTTATGTTTAAGCAATCTTTCTATTGATACTCTCAAGCACATAAACAAGAATACTTCATATTTACATAGTCAGAACTTCAAAATAAAGCTTTATCATGTTGTTCATTGCTACTTAACAGTAAAGATGCTACTTTGTCTTTTTTATTTGGCATAAGACTACTTGAACATGGGTTATGACTTTGAGTTTTGAGTTATTACGCTAGCTATGACATTTCCACCAATCACTATCAACCTATGAAAACCTTTTACTGTTAGATGACTTCAACTAGTTGTGGGAACTACTTTCTTTTTCAGATCTATATGCTTTATAGTTATTGTGAACTTGGGCTTGAGTTTTTTTATCATCTCTTTTAGATACACCAAATCTGGTAGTATTTGCATATCTGAAACACAGAAAAAACGTCCACTAAAGAGTAGCCTGAAATGCTTTGACATATGTTAACATCCGGAAGCTGTTCTTTGTACTAGTGTTCTTATTTCTTTTGCATGCAGTGGTGTGGAATCCCTGGGATAAAAAGGCAAAGGCTATTGTTGATTTCGGAGATGATGAATACAAGCATATGCTCTGTGTGGAGGCCGCTGCTATTGAGAAACCCATCACATTGAAACCTGGTGAGGAATGGAGAGGAAGGCAAGAACTTTCTGCTGTTGCTTCTAGTTACTGTAGTGGGCAACTTGATCCTCAGAGAGTCCTCCAGGGCAGCTGAAAGATCCATTACTGTGGTCATTATATGTACAGGTAATTTATGCTGAGTGTTTATTAGCAGTGCTTTAAATTCTACTCTTTTTTTTTTAATATCGGGTGATAAGTTGCTTATCGGCCAATATGTAATGGTTTGGGTCATTACTGTTATCTTTCTGGCATTTCTCGTGAAGGCCTGGTACATGTGCCATATCTGCCATACGCTGTTATGCTACTTCCATTCTTTTTCCTTCTTTTTTTGTCTCTTGTCCCCCATTTGGTTTTCAAGTGTGAGTAGAAACTCAACCTCAAATTGTGAAAATCATTGTGAACTTTAAAGTTTAGTACATGCAACATGGTTCTTTTTCTTTGATGTGTTTGAACGGAATGGATTTCATTTCGACCATAGAGAAAGAGACAAAAATTTGAAAGATATATATATATATATATATAACATCTCTGTTCTTAAGTGGCTATAATTTTTGGCTTTGTGGTCGTTTACAGTCAGGTATGTGCTCTACTGCACTTATATCATTTTATAAGCGGAGACAAGTACAGTATTGTCCCTGATCTTTTTTTATTAGTAGAAATAAAGTAGTATTTGTCTTGGCTACAGCTACCTTGATCTTGTTTTATTAGTAGAGATGGTCTGTTTTTGTGTTAGCTACGATTGATTCTGCTTTGCTTACTAGTTGCATCATGTCTTACAGCAATTGAGTTGATGAACCTCTGGTTTTTTTTTTTTAATCAAGCAATCGGATTCATTTATAATACAATCTACATGCAGGAATTATGATGATGGATCCAAGCAGGACAATTTTATTCACCTCCTGGATTTTTGTTGGTTGAAGGATTATGGAATAATGTTGCATTCGGTGATGAATGTTTTTTAACCAAAATACAAATGGATGACAATATTTGCGGACCAAATAGAATTACTGATATATTGATGTGAAATTGCATGATCTTTTCAATGGTCTCCTCTTGTGCCAAAGTACGTTGTTCCTTCGCTGCTGTTATATTTGTTTTTCACAAACTAAAGTAAACAATTACTACTGTTGTTATTATCATTTTTATTAATGGTGATGTTGTTGAAGGCTGTTTTGTTATTCCAGCTGTGGATGAGCTATGGGCTGTCTTGTGAATTGACTGAACAGCAGCTCAGGCTTTTGTAAGAATTTACTAATTCAAATTTAGTTGGATTACTATATTATTATTATTATTATTATTATTATTATTATTATTATTTTATTGGGTTAAAGGGGCTTTGCATAAATTAAAATTACGACTTAATACATACATAATATCTATATGTCATCTGTTGATAGAGATAGAGTGTCAGATTTTTAAAGATAAATTTTGAAATCTTTAAATATATATATATATATATATATATATATTTATATAAGCAAAAGTGATGCTAGAATCCAAGATGGGTAAAAATGGAAAAGTAAAATATTTGTTTGTTAAAATTTACGGTAAACGAAAGATTATATACCATATTATTCTCGTGAAAACAACTAATATTTAATGTATTTATATTTTTTAAATAATTATCTAATTTTTGTAAATTCTCACGATTTTGTGTCTAAGCTTGGAGTTCGAGGATATCCAACAAAATTGCTTGGGGTTCTTTAAGCAACTTTGGAGAACTCCTTAAAAATTAAAATACACGGAGAATATCAATTTTACAATATGGATTATGTAAGGATCTTATCAAATGTTACACGGAGTCCGGAGTCGGGTTATTCCATCAAGGCAAAGGTTTTGCTCGATTGGAAAAATTGGATAAAAATAGTAAACTTGTTAAATAAGTTTAAATAAAAGTGAAATCTATTTAAAAAATAAATCGTGATTTTTTTGAATTCAGCATTCAATTTGGTTCGATTTAAATTATATAATATATTATTTTTATGTTAATATATATTATATAAAAAATAAATTTATAATATTATAATGTAACTATTAGAAAATAAAATAAAATATTTTATTTTAAAATTTAATAAAAGAACATGTAAAAAATACTAACTACTAAATAAAAACACCATGATTTCTTTTTTTTTTTTAAGAAAATAGGAGCAAACTTGGGTGGGGGTAACTTGTATTATTTACAATAAACTAGAAATTAGTTTGCACTTCGCCGCGGATTCAATTTTTTAGTTATTCGTACATAATAATTTATTATAAATTTAATAAATGAGAAAAATTATATATATATATATATATTACAGTTTTAATAGGAGCAACGATTATTTCAGGTTCAAATTTATCTAAATATAAAAGGATTTACAATTGGATCGAGACAGATAGAAATTTGTTAGATATGAATTATTTTAGTATGTTTGTCAATTGATGCATTTTGTTGAAAATTTTATTTGATTAAAAATAAAAAAAAAATAAAGGGGAAAAAGTGAAATGGAAGTGTAAAGTAGACATTCCATGGGCTTCTTTTTTAATAAAATTAATTTAATTACAAAAGCAACAAAAATAAAAAAACAAAAAAAAAAGGAAAAGGAGCTCATTAGGTACTATTAGATATCTCATCGAGATTAAAGTGTTAATATATTAAATAAAAGTATTAAATAATAAATTCATTAATAAAAATTATAAAAAAAAAACAAAATGACAAAAGAAATAGTTAGGGTATGAACATTTAAATTGAGTTAAAAATATTAATATATTATATTAAGATATTAAATATTAATTTTATTAATATAATACATATATATATATATAAATATAAAATAAAATATATACTTTATTTTACCATAGGATGGCTTGGATAAAATACTCTAAATCTCGTCTTCACTTTCGTAAAAAAAATCAACTCGACTCTATTTGAGATTGATTTTTTATAAAAGCACACATATCGAATTGGGAGGAGGGATATCCATCAAATATTGATTGTTTTGTTATTCATATCAATTCACTTATTTTGTTATAAAATTTATTTAATTAAAATAAATAAAAATACAAAAAAATAAAATTAAGGTGCTACATGAATATCATAATTGATATTATTTTTTTAAAAAAATTATCTTATTAAAAAAGAAAAAGCCAAAGAATAAAAAATAAAAGAATTAGCTATTGAAGGTGCCGTATGGATGTTTTGTTGCTCTTAAAATCTCGAAACTTTTGAGGATAGATGGATAGATGGATTAAGCGTATGGATGGATGTACAAAATTTATATTAAAAAGCTATAAAAAAATCTAATGTCATATGGATACCTCATTCAATACTTACGCTGGCCCACTTCATTCCATATTTTAATTTAAAGAAAAAACCATAAAAAAGTCAAAAGAAAAAAAACTAAAAATGAAAAGGGCAAAAATAAAAGAAACCAAATCCAATGCCATATGGATACCTCATTCAATATTTTTTTATAAAATTATCTAATTAAAAAAAACTAAAAAAATTTTTAATGAATAATATCAAATGAATCACATTATAAATAAAAAATATTTATTAAATATAAAAAAAATAAAAAAAATGAGTTAAAGTGGATGACACGTGGAGATAAAAAGTATAAAATTTAGATTTGATATTAAAATATATACCTTATATGTACTCCAAGTGAATTGAGGTAATATGCTATTTACTCGAAACGAACACGATTTTGTTTCTCTTTACAAGCTCAATTTGCACCAATTCGATTTTGAATTAAAAAACAAACACCCCATTACCAGATTGGGTGGAGTCAAAAATAATTGATACAAATTGTTTTGCCATTCTTATTTATTGTTATATTTTGTTGCAAAATTTATCTAATAAAAATAAAATAAAATAAAAAACAAATTAGGGTGTTTGTGGATATCTCTATTACTTTTTTTTTTCAAGATTTATCTAAATAAAAGATTTTAAAAACTAGGAAAATTTGAAAAGAAAAATAAAAAAAATAAAGAGGCATAAGAGCCATGTCAACACCTTAAATAAGAGTTAAACAAAAGCTAAAATGAGTTAAATTTATATAATGGACGGATAAATAAATGGATTATATATTTACTATGAATAACTATAGTATTTTTATTAAATTAAAATAATAAATAGTAATTTAATTAATATAATATATAAATATAAAATTAAATAATTAATTAAAAATAAATTATATATATACACTTGTGGATAGATGGAACACCCTAAATTAACCTTTAACTTGACAATAGTTTTAAAAAAGAAAAAACTTTGATCCGATCTTGATTTTTTTACAAACCCGCATATATTGAATTATAGAAATTTGAACATTATGATATATAAGTTTTGTCATTCTTACATTTACTGAATTATTTCTTATAAAATTTATTTAATTTAAAAAAGTAAAAAATTTATAAAAAAAACTAAGGACATAGCAAAAAGAAAAGAAAAGAAAAACCAAATGAGGTTACCCTATGTCAAAATGGATTTTAGAGACCACTAGATGGAAATTTTAAAAGTTTTTAAAATAAGGGAAGTTACCATAAATATTTTTTTGTTTAGGTGATACTGGCCATCTAAAAAGTTTATTTTTTTAATAAAATAATAAAATAAATTTAAAATTTATCACAAAAAAATAATTTTGGTCTACGAAAATATAGTTAGGTTCAGGAATTGATTACGCATAAAGAAACATTAGCATCCTCACAGCGCCAATTGAAATTAGTACTAATTGATTACATGTTATCTTTAATACTGATAAAAATGGTCTTAACTATAATATTTAAAAATGATTCCATCAAATTTTATTTTTTGGTGAAAATCTCTCTTTTTTTACCTTTTATTTAGGAATAAAATGAAAATTTTTAGTATTGAAACATTTTTTGATTCTGCAATATCCAAGGAGAATTTTCAATAATATTTCTTTACTTAGGATTTTCATATTAATTCTTTAAAAATTTCATATAATATTCCTTTATAAAGAATATTTATTAAGAAGCCTTTCAATATTTAAGGAGGGTTCCAATAATTATTTTTACTTAAGAATATTAGTTTTTCTTTTAATTTTTAAACAATTTTTTTCAAAAAGGCTGATTGTTTTTTGATTTTCGAAATGATATAAAAAAGTAGGTGAATATCATATAGAGTAGATGTGTGATACAAATGTAATTTAAATGTAAGCAGTCCATTAATTTCATCTAACACATATTTAAATTTTGTTTTTAATTCTTTTTTATAAAAAAAATGTTTTATTAAAGAAAATGATGAAAATCTTTAGTATAGAAACATTTTTTCTAATTTTTCAATATCTAGGTAGAATTTGGAAAAATATTTTTCTACTTAGAAATTTCACCACATTTCTAAAAAATTGGTGTAATATTCTTACATGAAAACTAATTATTGAAAAGCCTTTCAATATCTAGGTAAGGTTTTAACGATTATTTTTACGTAGGCATATTAGTCATTTTTTTTATATAAAAACTAATTTCAAAATCATCTAAATACCAACTCATATTTTGTTCCATGACATGATGTAATACAAGATAAATAAATGATACAAATGTGATCAATTAACCAACATGATCTTGTCTTATATGTACTTAATCTTGTTATTATTATTAATGAAAGAAATTCTATTTATTTATTTATTTATTATTATTATCATCATTTTTATGTAAAGGAAAGCTTTCTTTAATTTTCCAATATTTAGGTGTAATTTTGAGAGTATTTATCCTTTAAAATATGATTTAGATTCCTTCCAATATCTAGGCAGTGTTTTTAAAACCATTTTTCACTTAAAGAGATCATTTTAATTTTTTAATGTCTAAAAATCTCCTCTTTAAGAAAATCATTTTTAAATCATGAAATTATAATCTTTTACTTTTTACTTAAATTGTAATTTTATTTTATTAATTACATATAAATAAATTAATTTTCAAGAGTATATTTATATGCCTTTTATTTTACTATAATTATTATCGTTTTTTACAAGTCTAGAAATAATAATAACAAGCATAAAAAATGATTAAAGGCTCATGAAATAAATGAACAAAAGGGAAAAGAAATATACCACAAATGATGCTTTTGGATCAAGAGCCAATATAAACTAAGCAAGTTGCTTTTTGGCTAGGACCTAATATAAACTAAGCTAGGAATAAACCAACTATACTAGGCTTCTAGGACAGAGGCTCGTATTAGACTAAATCGAGTTAGGTGGGTTGGTCGATCAGGTCGGTTTGCTGGTTCGGGTTGGCAACTTTTTTTTTCATAGTACTATAAAAGGCC